GGATCGCATGGGATTTCCTAATTAAGTAAAGGGCTTCGCATGCCTGGCTAAGCACTAGGGAATATATAGGGAGACGCTCCTAGCTTTGGAAGGGGCATCGATTAGTCTCTTGTTGGAATCAATTCTTGGAATCAGTTACACTTGCAAGCGTCACTCCGCAGCTTACTTACCTTGACTACTTGTGCATCACCCTGCTATTACGTGCCTTACATTCTAATCGATCCAACCTTCGGGGAGCAGTTCGTTGCGAGGTAGTCAAGCCGTCGATAGACAAAACCACCAATGGCTAGAGCATTAACCAGAAGAAGCGCCTCTACTATCGCTGGGGCGACCCAGTCGGGCACCCAGGGGAGCGCCCAGTCAGCCACTCTAGCTACCGCCCAATCAGGAGAAGGGAGTGGAACTCAGACACCCCCAGAACCAGCTGGCAGGATAATAATAACGGAGAAGCTAGCGGCGGCTCGTCGTCGCATCGCTGAGTTAGAAGCAGAGATGCAACAGAGGGAGGATCTGGAGGATTTGGAAGCTCAGATTCGCCGTCTTGAGGATATTCGGGCACCCATCGTGGAACCTGTCGCGCCACCGGCGGCACGTTTGGTTCGCAGGGCTCCAAAAACCCGAGAATTACCAACCTACAAGGGGAAGAGTATCAAGGAAGCCCAGGACTTCTTCTACCAGGCGGAGCTGAAATGGCGTAAAGACGGCGGGATCACCTGGGCCACAGACGCAGCAAAGGTCACGCATTATGCTTCCTGCTTTGAGGGTATAGCCAGGGATATCTGGAAGCGTAGGGAGCGATCGGTGGGCGTTAATACCACGGATTGGGAGACCTTTATCGAGTTTATGAAGAATTCCATCTTGGATCCGGAGAACCGTAGTAATAACGCCCTCGCCAAGTTCAAGGACGCAAAACAGCGGCCAGGTCAGAGTATCCAAAGCTTCGTGTCCTACTTGGACAGCCTATCGGATAACTTGGGATATACGGGTTCGCCGCGAGAGCGGGACGACTTGTTTAGTGGCTTGAGGCAGGAGATTCGGGACAAGATTAATCGCCAAGGGAACGCTCCACGAGAAAGGGAGAAGCTTATTTCTGCGGCCGTGAGGGTCGAGAATAACTTGAACCAGTCTGCTCGACGGGAACGCAATAATGAGCCGACGGGTTAACGAAAGGAAGGAAATTGGAGAAAGGAGAGAGGGGATAATAAAGGGAAACGGAAGAGAAGTATATCCCCGTCACGAGGTTCGCATAACCGGGGTGGCGAAAGCATAGCGACGGGGTCCAACGCAGTACCCGTATCGGGATCTGTAAGACCGGGTATGACTTGCTTTACCTGCCAGAAAGAGGGTCACTACGCTACCACCTGCCCAAATCGGGGAAAACCGACTTGCTATAACTATAACAAGTCTGGCCACAAGGCATATGAGTGCCCAGAACCAAAGAAGCCGGGAAACGGGCGCGCCCCGCAGTAGTTACGCTCGTTTATACTACGGAGGGCAAGGCCCCTGAAACGAGAATGGTAATTGAGGTTACTATCAAGACGAGGAAAGGTGGGCAAAGGGTCAGAGCATTAGTTAACTCGGGTGCAGAGGCTAATTATGTGAAGAGGAGGTTAGCCTTGGACATGGGTATTCCGTCGACGTTAAGGGCAACTCCCTTGTCCTCGCCAGAGGGAAGGAGGATTCATTTATATAGAGATTGTGTTCTTGGGGTTATCGCCGAGGACACGCTAGGGGACCAAAGGGAGGCCGACGTACACTTTGCGTCGTGTGATTTCGATCTAAACCATGTTAACATAATACTTGGATTCCCATGGCTCTACCAGGTCGACCCCCTGATTTCCTTTAGGGAGGCGACGTAGAGACACCAGATTCGACCACAGAAGATTAAAGTTCTGAATACCAGGAAGTTTGCCAAAGCGGTAAAGCGTGAGGCGTATGTTTTTCTATTAACCGCCTATCCTATAACGGACGGCCGAAGGGTTACCGCCATTACCACAAACGGGATAGCTACACTTCCCAGAAAGTATCGGGACCTTCTCCGAGTATTCTCCACAGAGGCTATAGGCATACTGCCCGACTACCATACGATGGAGCATCACATAGATCTGGAACCAGGATCCTAACCGCCATATGGTCCTATATATGCTTTATTAGAAAGGGAGCTTAAAGTCCTTCGGGAATATCTTGATACTAGCTTGGAGAAGGGGTGGATCCGTCATTCCACTAGCCTAGCTAGTGCCCCAATCATGTTTATTCCAAAGAAAGGAGGCGGCCTATGTCTATGTATCGACTACCGGGGTCTAAACAGGATTACTATCAAGAACCGAATGCCGTTGCCACTTATTAGTAAGACAATGGATAGGCTTTGCGGAGCAAAGGTATATACAAAGCTAGACTTAAAGGATACTTACCATCGGTTGCGAATACGGGAGGGCGACGAGTGGAAGACGGCATTCCGAACACGCTATGAACATTTTGAGTACTATGTCATGCCCTTTGGACTATCCAATGCTCCGGCGACGTTCCAGGCGTACATTAACCATGCGCTAGTAGGCCTCGTAGACGTCATTTGTGTGGTCTATCTGGATAATATTTTAATTTATTCAGAGGACCCAGAATAGCATACGATGGCGGTCCGACGTGTGCTCGAGCGGTTACAGTAATACCAGCTCTTTGTGAACTTGGCAAAATACGAGTTTAATATGGAGAGAGTAGAGTTCCTGGGATTTATGATTAGCCCAGATAGCGTAGAAATGGAGGCCAGCCGGGTTATAGCCATTAGGGAATAGCCGGCCCCAAAGAATAATATCCGAGAAGTCCAAGTATTCCTGGGTTTTGCTAACTTTTACCAGAGATTTATCTATAGATACTCCAGGGTAGCGAAAGGGTTAACTAATTTGCTAAAAACTGGCGGAAAACCACTATATTAGTTTAGCTAGACGGATGAGGCAGACAAGGCTTTTAGGGAGCTGCAAATTATATTTACGATAGCGCCAATCCTTCGTCATTTCGACCCAGCCTTAAAGATTCGTGTGGAAACGGACGCTTCAGGATTCGCAGTTACAGGTATGATTTCCCAGCTCTTTGGCGAGGGGGCAGAAGCCAGGTAGCACCCCATCGCTTTCTATTCAAAAAAGATAACTGCAATTAAGAGCAGGTATGAGACGCACGACTCTAAACTCTTGGCCATCGTTCTGGCATTCCGCACTTGGCGGCATTACCTGGCGTACGCCTGGCATACCATTATCGTCAAGACAGATCACAATAACTTGAAATACTTCATGACTAAGAGAAAACTGAATAGTCAACAGATGAGATGGGCAGAGGAGCTAGCTGCCTTCGACTTCGTCTTAGAGTACCGGCCGGGGCGCAGTAATCCCGCTAATAGGCCATTAAGGAGGCCAGACTTTGCAGCGGGTATAGATAAAGACACTTCACTACCCACGCTTCATAATAAGCTATAGAATACAGAATAGAGAACCCTGTGGGTGGCGGCAATAGGACGCCACACTATCCCTGCGACGCCGTAATACAAGGCCCAGGAGAGAGGAGGTAGGCACTCCTCGATTAGCGAGATACTAAGGAATTCCGAAGAGGAAGTCCATTTTGGTAACGGAGTAGCGCCGGAGACACCGCTACTTGAGCCTATTACTGGTATAGCTAGTTACAAATAGTACGTACCACGGATTCTAGCTGCATGGGCAGCTAGGTCCGAAACAGTATACGAGGAAAGCGGAGAGACATTACTTGAACTACTATTACAGCGCCAAAGGCTCGATCCATTAGTGCAACACCGGCAGTACGAACAGTTCTCAAAGGGGACCTCTACTAGAGCCGTCAAGACTTGGGAACTTAATACATCTGGGTTATTGAGACGTCGGGGCGCCATCTATATGCCAAATGAGCCGGCTCTCAAAGAAGAATTACTGCAAGCTAACCATAATAATCCTATAGGTAGGCATTTTGGCGCTAGCAAGACACTAGAGATCCTTTAGAGAAAGTACTTCTGGCAGAGCATAAGAAAGAACGTGAAAGACTACGTCAGAACTTGTCCTATATATTAACGGACTAAGGTAAAGAGATATCTGCCATACGGCGCACTCAGTTCATTCCCCCTCCCCTCCAAGCCATGGCAAGAAATTACTATGGACTTTATTACGGGGCTGCCCTCTTCTAGGTTTCGCGGCAAAGTATATAATTCTATACTTATTATTATTAATAGGTATACGAAAATGGCACGATATATTCCGACTACTAAGGAGGTCTCGGCTCCTGAGCTGGCGGAGCTATTTGTGCACCATATTATCAAAGACTTCGGCACGCCTGCGGGCATAACCTCTGATAAAGGATTTGTCTTCACAAGCAAGTTCTGGTTAAGTCTATACTTCTACTTAAAGGTTCGACGACGGCTAAGCACAACATTCCACCCGCAAACTAATGGATAAACGGAAAATCTAAACCAAACTCTAGAATAATACTTGAGGTACTATGCTAGCCACTAGTAGGATAACTGGGTAGCGAAGCTTGCTCTCGCAGAATTCACGTATAATAACTCTATGTATTCAATAACAGGAATATCCCTATTCTATGCCTTATACGGATTTTATCCCAGCATCGAACTACACGTTAAGGACAACGTTCCAGAAGAAGGGGCGCCGGCAGTACAGGAAAGAGTGCAAAGAATTCAAGTGAAACGGGAGGCACTAGAGAAACGATGGCAAGAAGCAGTAGATATACAGAAAAAGCACTATAACAAGAAACACATTAACAAGAAGTTCAAGATACATAATAAAGTCATGCTTCGTGCGAAGAACATTCGATAGCTACGACCTAGCGTAAAGCTAGCGGACAGATATCTCGGCCCCTTTAAAGTTCTGGAAGTTATAGGAACACATAGACAGGCATACCGCTTGGAATTACCACTATTATATCGGATCCATAATATTTTCCACGTTTCCCTCTTAGAACCATGGTACCCGCGAGCTAGTACTATAGTAGAACCAGAGCTAGTCGAGATCGAGGGCAAAGAGAAATTCGAGGTAGAATCTATTATGGCCCATAGGGAGGGCAGAAAAGGAAGGGAGTATCTCGTTCATTGGAAGGGCTACTTACCGGCGGATGACATATGGGAACCACCAAGTAATCTAGAGAATATAGCTCAAGAATTACAAGAATACTTGGAAAAGAGTAACGTCGTAATGCCATTGGCCAAACGGAGGCGCAAAAGATAAACGCTTTTATTAGGAAACTATTAAAAAACCATGTATTTATTCTTGGAAAAACCATGCGAAAATTATTAAAAACTCCAATTTCTGCACCCCATAAATACCCTACCCTCGCGACTACTCTCCACTATCCTCATTATTATCCTTATTAGGATCCTCTCGAGAAACAGGTGGCAAATTAGCCCATAAAGCTATTAGCCGTCGGCAAGAAACGAGGAAGAAGTGAGCTTACTTAATACCAAAGAACATTAACCACACCGTCAAGAGCACTTTGCACTTGCGCCAAGCTAGTGAGAATTGCTTAACCCATTCCTTGGATTATTGGGGAAATCCGTTGGCCTCGAATAATAGCTTTAACACGAGAAGTATATGCAGTTTGGCGTAGAAGAAGGGCAGTAATAGCCTTCTCCCTTTCGGGCAAAGGATAGGGAAGACGCTTGCATGTGTCGATGGCTTAAAGAAGGCGGTTCAACCGCACCACACATGCTTGAGGAACCTTGGACAGCGTCAAAATAAGGAATAAAAGAAGGAATTTGTAACTTACAGGATCACACTTCTTATTCTTGGAGCGGCAGCAATCGCACACCGAGCGATTATTGCTCTTGACACAAGTGAGGTCGGGAAACTTGGCAATATTCTTGGAACATTAAAGATAGCAAGGGCGAATCAAGGATATGGGAGCGTTGGCCGAACGGGTGGCGACAGGCTAACGAGTACCAAGAGGAGTGTTCATCTTGATGGATGAAGAAGTGGAAGAGGGAATTAGAAGGGGACTTAAATAAAGCTTGAATGAGGCTTAAAAGAGCTTGAAGGAGCTTGAAGAAGGCTTGAAGAAGGAAGGCAAGGGACGAGGAGGAGCTGGGTACGGTATTGTGGTTGAGGAAAAGGAAGGTTAGTTAGTGGGAAAAGGGAGGCCTTTTTATAATGCCCTCTCCCCGAATAGTGATCGCGAATTCGGAACCGGCTCTACGCCAGGAACACCCAGAAAATTCCAAAGAAGGGATTCACGAACGAACCAGAAAATCGGATTAACTTTTCCAAGCTCTTGGGCCTACAGAGCAACGATTTATTCGCGAATGGAGGCTAAGTTGGGATTCACGAACCAATCAGGAGATCGGATGAGCTTCATGTCCGACAGTATACGCTGTATTCGCACCACCTTTGCGAGGGGGAATCGCCAGAGGCGATTTGCGAACCAGCTAGGAAGGGTTAGTGAACTATATCCTCAACTCCATTACCTGGCGTAATAATGGGGCAATTATGGGGAGTCTTTGGGGAAAGCCAGCGGCCAGGAAAGTTTCAGGGGGACATTTGTGAAGCTATTCGCAGTTTTCCCAGGCCTCTTGGGGACAAGGGCCCAGAGGGGGGGTTAATGTGATGGGCACACGTGATGGCGCATGGACAGGTGTCAGATGTCGTGGATCTAGTTTCCTATTTTGGGTATAGCTTGCGATCGGAATCGTATGGATCGCATGGGATTTCCTAATTAAGTAAAGGGCTTCGCATGCCTGGCTAAGCACTAGGGAATATATAGGGAGACGCTCCTAGCTTTGGAAGGGGCATCGATTAGTCTCTTGTTAGAATCAATTCTTGGAATCAGTTACACTTGCAAGCGTCACTCCGCAGCTTACTTACCTTGACTACTTGTGCATTACCCTGCTATTACGTGCCTTATAATAAGTATAATTCTATATTATACCTATAAAGATTCTATTTTTACTTAGCTTAGCCAATATAAATAAACTAGGAGTTTATTTTAATAATCTTACTAATTATCTCATTATTTCTAATAGATGCTTTATACCTATAGTATAATATTTTAGATACTCTTTCCTGTTTTGAAATACTATTCTATAAAGCTTTATTTCCGAATTCTTTATTTATAATTTCTACTTTTTTATAGAGGTCAAATTATAATATCTATACTACTATTTTAGTTATTTATCTATTAGTAAGCTTCGAAATATATTAGAATAAACAGGCTATAATATTAATATAGAAGCCTTTAAGTATCTTATAAAGTACTATAAGTAATACCAGAAATTCGGACAATTACCGGAATAATTTAAGTTTAATCTAAGAGATAATATTAATTTTAACTACTCTATTATTATTAATATTTTCTATATTTCTAGTAAGTCTATACTTTATATTATTAATAAAAGTACTAGATATCAAGTTAGCTAATAGCTTTAAAATATTAGTATATTATATATTTGGGATATCCTAAAGTAGTATTAGATTAATACCTATTTAGGCCCTCCTAATTAGATTATAGCAGATACCGGAAAGTAGTTTATTAGTAAGGAATTTACTTAGCTTATAAATACTATAGGAACCAAGGTCAAAATCGTCTCTATAGAAGCTTATAATTCCGTCGGAATTATAGAATATTACTATAGCCCAATTCGATATATTTATCTTATTATTATAGCCGAAATTAATAGAATTAATAAGAATACCATATTTCAAATAGCTTTTAAGGCTATTAATAATTCTACTAGACCCGATAGTATTGTCCCAATCCTCTTGGTTTATAGTACTTTATCCCGAATAATTAAATATAATATCCTATTACTAACTATATTATAGTAATTAGTAATATTTAAGAAGGCAATAATAGAAATTCAGAAGCTTTAAGCTAGATACCAGATTACAAATACCCTAAATATCTGAAATAGTTCTAGTACTATTAATATCTATAAACTTTCCTTAAATTCAAATATTCTTATATAGTATAAAGGAAATACCAATTAACCTAGTAGTTAGAATAGACTATATAAGCTAGTAGCCATTAACGGAAAGAACTATATACTAGCTCTATTATATAGTAATACTATCTTTTACTTAACTTCTATAAAGCCCTTTTATATAGGAGATATTAAGATTATTACTAATAGCCCTAAACCTAAACCTGTTCCCGAATTCTATAATAAGGCCAAAGGCAATATAGGTATAATTCCTCCTGCTATTTCTGCTATTCTACTAAAGTATAATAGAGAATACTCTTATAAAAACCCGGATTTTATAGTATTCCTATAGGATAATAACCTATATAAGGACTCCTATTAAGTTGAAATTACTAGCCTTCTAGAAAAGGATATATTTAAGGTTACTTCCAGATCTCAGGTACTAAAGAAGGTATATATTTTTAACTCCCGGTTTATTAATAAGATTAAGAATAAGGGTATAGAAAGAGAGTTTAAAAAGTTGAGACTAGTTATCCAGGCTTATAATAATAGTAAAAAAACATATAGTATTAATATAATTACCTATTATTTAATATATTAGTTAGAGAATTATCCTTAGTATTACTACTATAATAATAGATACTATAGAGCTATATTTATATAATATCTTATAAGCTTATATCTAATTAATAACTTTACTTAACTATAATTTTTATATTAACCTATCTTATAAGCTTACTAGAGAGCTAAATCTGAATAATAATTCGGTTCTAAAAGTTATAAAACTACTATATAATATACCGGAAGCTGGAAACTACTAATTCAAGACTTACTATTCCTACTATATTAATAAGCTTTCTATAGAATAGTTAACTTATAACCCTTACCTCCTTTATAGTAAGTAATTCTTTAGAATCATTAGCTTTTAAACTAATAATATCCTATTTATTAGAAATAACGATTTTATAAAAACGGAATAATTAAAGCTTTAAAAAGCTAAGTTCTTAGCCAAAGAATATAAATACCTTACTATTAACTATAATCTCAAGTTTAATAAAAGTATTATCTATACGGATACTACTAGAATTATCCTTATATAGGAATACTAGTATAAAAACCTCCGAACTATTTCTATAAAAAATACTATTACTATAAATAGTAGAGGTACTATTTATTAAGATCTCTCTATTAAGGACTAATATATTACCTAATATACTAGAGGAGTATATATTATATTAGTCTATTAATTAGAAGCTTTATATAACTTATTAATTACTACTTAAGCTATTAAATCTTCGGAAACTAATATAAAAATACTTAATAAGTATATTTAATAGTAAATTGAGAATATTACCAGAAGACTAAGATTTATAAAGCTAGTAAAGGAGTTCTTATATTTAATTATTTTTATAGATACTTTATTCGCAAATAATAGAGATCTCTTTTTCTAAATCGGATATATTCTAGTTCTAGTAAATGAAACTGGATATATTAATATTATCTACTAGTCCTCTACTAAATATAAGAGAGTTACCAGAAGCATTCTAGCTTTAGAACTCTACGGTATGGCTTACGGCTTTAATATAGGTACTATAGTTAAATCTATAATTAATAGAATACTAGAAATGAAACTACTACTAATAGTCTATATAGATTCGAAGTTATTATATAAATACCTTATTAAATTGGGAACTACTCGAGAAAAGTATCTAATAATTAATATAATATACTTCTACTAGGTATATAAATAATAAGAGATTATAAAAGTCAAATAGATTAAGGGAAAATCGAATTCTATTAATTCTATAATAAAATTAAAGCCAATAAATACCCTTAAATACCTAATTAATACAAATATTATATAATTAGATATAGAGGAATAGGTCAAATATAAATAGGGCAGGAAATAGATATATAGGATAGAAGGATATTATAGGAGAGAAAATTATATATAAAAGGCTATAGCCTTTAATATATAACCAAAACCTTAGAAGTAATATAGATATATAGAATATTTGGGAAAATCTAATACTAGGCCGGATTAGAGAATTTATATATAATTAGAAGAAGATATTATTTTTCGCATTTTTTAGAGAGTTTCTAGTATTAATATAGCTATTTCTTTAGAAGTTATATATATAGTTATAGGATACGGGATACGGGATATAGGTAATAGAATATAGGATATAGTTATATAACCTTATATTCTATTAGTAACTTGACTAGTAAACTAGACCCCTTTAGGCTTAGTAAATTTAGGGATTATATATTAATATTATAATACTATAATTCCTATTTCTAAATAATAATAACTTTACTAACTAATATAACTAGTATTTCTATACCTATATAATAGTACTATATATTACTAGTAAACTAATAGTCTTATTATTACTAAAGCTAATAAACTTTTCTTTACTTAGCTTATATTTCTTAATATTTATATTAGAAATATAACTTATTCTTTATTTTTATTAGCCTAATATCTAGAGT